CCGTAAAATCATTTTTATTTAATAATTATATTATTGCAATGACATAATTACGCAGGGGTACGCTTTAAGAAAGCTTTATTCACTTGAGAATACAGGGTTCGAGTATAACGTCCTTTTGTATAGGAAACAGTAGAGAGGAAAACTGGATCAGGACGTCACAACAGAAAGGGCAATCATCATTTCTACTACTATTTCTAAGTGAAGACATCAATTAGAAAATATCGAACTCAATCCATAAGATGGAGAGTGAAAGAGGATTTTTCCTATGTCAGTCCAAAGAGCAGTGAAAAACTATTTGAAAATGAAATCGTATTTGAAACGCAACTTGTTACACCATGACAGAAAGTTATAAGATTAGAGAGGGCGAAAATCATCTTGAATAACTTGTAAGATGATGCTGGGATATATATATATAGAGGAGGCATGCTGGGATATATATATATATAGAGGAGGCACGGTGGAGTAATGGATAGCGGCTTGGATTGAGGAATCGCAGAGCCGAGTTCGAATTTCAATCGAATCCATTACATTCACTTACGTGCTAATACCCTTGGGAAAGGTATGAATCCTCTTCATCTCCCTCCAGCTATGGGTAAAATAGCAGGACAGACTGGGTTCTATAGCCTTGGATGGCAACTGGTCTAGAAGAAGGACAACTCTGAATTCAAAACCTGCGGAGGGTCGTTTGGGAACCTTGTGGCATTCGGTGCACCAGGTTTCTGTATTCGTCCCTCCAAAAGTGTGGCTGGTCCTGCACGAGGCCTTCACCACTATAATCAAATCTCATGTGCCGATGTCGGGATGTCGGTTTCCTGGAAACTTATCGGCCTGACCCTCATACGTCGAACTCGACGGGAGAGTCGATTATATATATATATATATATATATATATATATATATATTCATAAAGGGCTGTGGAGATGTTACTGTCTCCTCGCTTTTTTTTGTGTGTGAATATATATCTAAATATGTCTGGGTGCTTATGTATTATAATCTGATTGTGTTTTTGTTGCTTTGCGCGTGAGTTTAAGACCCCATTCACACACTTGGGATTAAAATATATATACATGTATTGTCAAATGACCGGATATTGTAGCGTCTGGTCGTACGTAATTTCAACGAAGAAATAAATTGAATAACATATGTATTCTTTCTTTTCTCCTCAGTAATTTTATAGTTTTTAAACTTAATAGTGATTAAATTTGGATTTTAAAATTGGCCGTTTTTAATTTTAATATCAAATTTTATCATATTATTTAATAATTATAGGTTAGAATAAATTCTTTTTAATATTACCCGTATTTTAAAGATCTGAATAGATATTATTACATGATTTCGTTATCAAGCTTTTGAATCTTCCTATACTTAGATTTTGATTGGTTATTCTAGCTTTTGTAACAATGTTTTCCCCTAGTGAAGGATCGTTAATTAATTTGAAACTTTTAAAACCATTTATTTTATCTTCAACATCATCACTTGATAAGACACCGAGGGTGTTGAAACAAAATGGCTATTTTTGTAGCAATTTTATAACCTATTTATGTTATGATTTTTTTATAAATAATTTTTTATATATATATATATATATATATATATATATATATATATATATATATATATACTTTATTTCAATCCTTCATGAGCTTCCAATCCTTAGCTATGATTAATTAATGATGAATATAACATTTTCGTTTATGATTGATTTCATCACGATTCTTCTCTTAATCTTGCGGAGTAGTTATACATTTTATTGCCTAAAATAGAATCCAGTAATATTAGAAAATATTTGTCATAGTAACAAAAAAGATAGAAACATTAGTCCGATTGAAAATTAATGTAAATACCTTTTTTTTAATTTTATAATTATATTATTGTAATGAAACAATTACGCAGATGTAGGCTTTAAGAAAGTTTTATTTAATTGAGAATACAAGACTTGCGTATAGTGTGCTTTTATATTCCCAGTAAACAGAAATAGCTCTCTCAAAAGATAAGAAAACAAGGGGAGACCACTCTTGATTATTCATAATAATTACATTTAGATTAATATTTTTTACAGTAATGTTCATATATGTATATATTTCTGAGATGAGGTATTGTAATTATTTACACTATTTACACTGTTCGGACTGTTGTCATCCAGGACACATGGCCCAGTGGATAAAAACGTTAATTGGATCCATTGACTTGACCCAATGAGTTGTGAGTTCAATATATTTGTGAACAAAATAATGTCGTGAATATGGCAATAGGGATGTAAATAATGTTCATCGTGGCAGAGGGTTATTTAGTAAGAGGAAAAGGTTTATGATAATTATTAAACCTAGATTTGGATAGGGTGAGATTTTAGTGAGTGGAGAAGAGTCGGTTCCACAAAGCATCTACCGTTATTCCCCATGTATAATACGCATTTTTTTTTAAAAAAAAAAGCAAATTTAGGGGTGCCTATTATGCACAATTACAAAAAATCTTGAAAAAATAGCCGTTTCAGTTGCAAAATGACTACTCACGACTAACATACAAAAATTTATCTTAAAACTAAATTAGAATATTATTCTGTTTAAAACCATTTTTTTAAAATAAGAGTAGGAAATGGTGGCCGTAAGGAAATTGGTGAGGTACATTTATAGGGTTTCATTACCAAACAAGGTGTGCGTACTATACGTTAGTAGAGACATTTTCCCACAATTTCAGCACAATTTTAGTGTGCGTATTATGGATGAAGGTGAATGGGATATTACGGTATTCATGAGAAGCTACTCGAGTTGAACTTACATCTCAACAAATGAATACGAGGAGAATGAATATGGTTGTTTACAATGTACGTCGAATGGCCAGTCGGAGCCGTGAAGTTTAGAACTGGAACTAAAAAAAAGGAACTGGAAAAAAAATATATTTAGTCTATATATATATATATATATATATATATATATATATATATATAATATATAAAACTTTTCAAAATATAGGTCCTAATTTATTGAACATTAGTATTTATTTTATTGTATAAAAATCATTGTTTAAATCAAGTTATAAAAGAAAAAACGTTTCTGCAAATGATATCCGTGATTTAGATGTTAATAGCGATGCGAACAAAGCAAGCGAAAGTGACTATTATTGTAAAGGTGGCGTTATTGGTTGTTGCGAAAAGGGTTTAACTTTACTGACAAGAAGAAGGAAAAACTATGAAAATGTGTAATGTTGATCAATTTAAACAGAAACACCTGTTGTCTTCTGCTGTGTGTTGTCGGCCATGATGACTCATCAGTCTTTTCCCTATTTTTCATCGCCAATCTTTTCACACGTTTCACCTTTTGAACCGTTTTCTTTCTTTTCCTCTCATTTATTATTTAACTCGCTTCTCACCGTTTCCACTTCCATAATTATGGCTTCCTCCATTTTTTTCCCCTTTTGGAGCCTGTTTTGTTCTATTCATCTCTTTTATTCATTGTTTTATTCTTCTAGTTTTCCTTTCGTTATACTTCCCGCTTAAAAAAAAAATCTCATTCTTAGGCTTATTCTCATTTCTCTTCTACTTCTTCTTCTTAGTAGTAATAGTAGTAGTAGTAGTATTCTTGGTGTACAACAGGTTCTTTTAAACGGGGGGGATATACTCATTCTTTGATTCGAATCAATCACGTCATTTTTAGCGCTGCTTGTTCTTTTCAATAATTTCACAGATTTTATTATTTTTTTTCTCTTTTTTCTATTTTATTCTAATTTTTCTTTTAGTTCTTTTCTTTTTCAATTTGTTTATCATTTTCTGTTGCACCTTCCTTATCTTATAATTCTACCTCTACTTTTTCGGATGCTTCTGATTTTTATTCTAATTATTCGTTTTTCTGATTCTGCATTTTTGTCTCATATTTCCTATTTTGCTCTTTCATGATCCTCTTTTTGCTTTCATTATCCTCTTTTTGCTTTTATGATCCTCTTTTTGCTTTCATGATCCTCTTTTTGCTTTCATGATCCTCTTTTTGCTTTCATCATCCTCTTTTTGCTTTCATGATCCTCTTTTTGCTTTCATCATCCTCTTTTTGCTTTCATTATCCTCTTTTTGCTTTCATCATCCTCTTTTTGCTTTCATTATCCTCTTTTTGCTTTCATCATCCTCTTTTTGCTTTCATCATCCTCTTTTTGCTTTCATTATCCTCTTTTTGCTTTCATCATCCTCTTTTTGCTTTCATTATCCTCTTTTTGCTTTCATTATCCTTTTTTTTTCATTATTTCTTTTGCTTTCATTATCCTCTTTTGCTTTCATCATCCTCTTTTTGCTTTCATTATCCTCTTTTTGCTTTCATTATCCCTTTTTGCTTTCATCATCCTCTTTTGCTTTCATCATCCTCTTTTTTGCTTTTCATTATCCTCTTTTTGCTTTCATCATCCTCTTTTTGCTTTCATTATCCTCTTTTTGCTTTCATTATCCTCTTTTTGCTTTTATGATCCTCTTTTTGCTTTCATTATCCTCTTTTTGCTTTCATTATCCTCTTTTTGCTTTCATTATCCTCTTTTTGCTTTCATGATCCTCTTTTTGCTTTCATCATCCTCTTTTTGCTTTTATGATCCTCTTTTTGCTTTCATTATCCTCTTTTTGCTTTCATGATCCTCTTTTTGCTTTCATCATCCTCTTTTTGCTTTCATTATCCTCTTTTTTTTTTTCATTATCCTCTTTTTGCTTTCATGATCCTCTTTTTGCTTTCATTATCCTCTTTTTGCTTTCATTATCCTCTTTTTGCTTTAATTATCCTTTTTCTTTTTTTTTGCTTTTATGATCCTCTTTTTGCTTTCATTATCCTCTTTTTGCTTTTATGATCCTCTTTTTGCTTTCATGATCCTCTTTTTGCTTTCATGATCCTCTTTTTGCTTTCATGATCCTCTTTTTGCTTTTATGATCCTCTTTTTGCTTTCATTATCCTCTTTTTATCAGACATTTTTACCCGTTTTCTCTTCATTTATTTTATTTTCGTTATCAGTTTTTATCATGTTATTCTTGTTGTCATATGATTATATATCACCTGATCAGTTCTTTCTTTCTTTCTTTTTCTTTCTTTCTTTTTCTTTCTTTCTTTCTTTCTTTTTCTTTCTTTCTTTCTTTCTTTCTTTCATATTCTCTTCTTTTTCCGCTTTTTCTTCTTTTTTTAATCATGTTATTCTTGTATTCATATAATTATAAATCACCTGCCCAGTTTATTCTTTCTTTCTTTCTTTCTTTCTTTCTTTCTTTCTTTCTTTATTTATTTATTTATTTATTTCTTTAGTTATTTATTTATTTCTTACTTTCTTTCTTTCTTTCTTTCGTTCTTTCTTTCTTTCTTTCTTTCTTATTATCTTCTTTTTCCCTTTTTCTTCTTTTTTCAATCATGTTATTCTTGTATTCATATAATTATAAATCACCTGCCCAGTTTATTCTTTCTTTCTTTCTTTCTTTCTTTCTTTCTTTCTTTCTTTCTTTCTTTCTTTCTTATTCTCTTCTTTTTCTTCTTTCCGCTTTGTCTTCTTTTTTGTTTTTTCTTCTTTTTTAATCATTTTATTCTTGTATTCATATAATTATATATCACCTGCTCAGTTCTTTTTTCATTCTTTCTTTCTTTCATATTCTCTTCTTTTTCTTCTTTTTGCTTTTTCTTCTTTTTTAATTATGTTATTCTTGTATTCATATGAATATATATATATATATATATATATATATATATATATATATATATATATATATATATATATATATATATATATATATATATATATATATATATATATATATATACCTTAATTTTTCTTTCTTTCTTTCTTTCATGTTTCCCCTTTTCTTTTTCATATTTTTGCTTTATTATTTTTCTTTCTTCTCTTCAATCTTTTTCTTTTCTTATATTTTTCTTTCCTCTTTTCCTTTCTTATTTCTTCTTTCTCTTCTCTTTCTTATTTTATCTACTTTTCTTTCCTTTCTTACTTTTTAGCATTTCCCTTTCTTTTCATATGTTATTACTTATATTCTCTGTGTTATTTTCAATCTCTTTTCTTTCCATCCTTTTTTTTTTCATTCCTTCCTTTTTTTCTCGCAAAAGGCTTGTGCTGCTATGATTATGAAGAGGATTTAGAGAATAGAATTTCATATCCAGCTGTCTATGTTCGTATCGTTCCAACATATTTTAAAAAATAGGCATGAACCCATTTCCCTTGATTATGTATTTTGTTCGCAGTTTTTCTATAGTTGAACCGTCCTGGGTAAGACCATAAACTACATCCATCAGCAAGGCCTGTGATCAGGAAATTCTGAGGAGCGTGGAACCACCTCTTAATTCTTGGTTTTCTCAGATCCATACTGACCGTCGGTGGTAACGCCTGTTAGGGTCCTAGCTATGGGCAAATAGTTAACCCCTAAAGTTGTATCAAAACAATATGAAAATGTAAAATAGTTTTTAATAACAGGAATAAATTTTTGACGAAAATATTATTACCAGCAATACATTTTTGAAAAGATATTAACAGCAATACATTTTTTGAAAAAATATTACCAGAAATGCATTTTGGTAAAAAATATTACAAGTAATACATTTTTTTTTAAAAATATTAACAGCAACACAATTTTTGAAAAAAATATTATCAGCAATACATCTTTGGAAAAAAATATTACCAGCAATGCATTTTTAGAAAAGAAAAATATTACCAGCAATGGATTTTAGAAAAAAAAAAAACAGCGATACAAATTTGGAAAAATATTACCAGCAAAGTATTTTGGAAAAATATTACCATCAGTAAATTTTTAAAAAAAATATATTACCAGCAATACTAATCTTCTCGGTATTAAATAACCCATTGAGAATGATATACCGTAATACAAAACAAATCAAAGCATAATTGAAGCTAAAACCATTGGGAAAATATATAAGCAAAAACATCTTCCCTACTGTTTGATATACGTCAAAATAACAACCAAATTCTGTTACCGCTATTGCTAACCTTTACATCAGAATTTGTATTTCACCCTATTTCGAATATCATTGGTTCTTTTCTTCTGATGTTAACCTTCCTCGAATTTCATTCATGTTTTATTTATTTAAATACTATTATTTTTCTATTTTATTGCTCTTTATGAAACGTTGTTTTATAATGTTTTATTTTTATTTTCAATCTTTCTTCTGCTTTTACCTTATTTGCATCTTTCCTTTCAGACGAAATGCTGATTGTCTGCTTTTTCCCTCAAAGTTTGTCGCTGAACAATATATGTAATGATTTTCTCTTTCCAAGACGAAGAAAGGAAGTGAAACCTCAAAAGTAACTAACAAAGAAATTCTTGGGAGACCGTTTAAAAAATGAAAAAGAAGTATACATATTTTAAAAAGGATTCAACAAGTAAAAAAAAAGAGAAAAGAATAAATCGAACAGAAAGGCTTGAAGAGTAATTGATTGTGCGAGATAAAAACGAACAGTGAATGAAAAAAAAAAATAAAAATAAATAAATAAAAGAGAAGCGAAGCGAAAATGGCTTCGAAAAGAGTGTGAGATTTAAATTTTCCGCCAAAGAACACAGTAAAAAATCCAAAATAAAAGAAACACTTTGATATTTGTGGTGATTCAGAAATTTCCTATAGATTTCGTCATTTTTTGATTGATTTAATTATTTGTCATGGAACTTTTTTATTTTTTTTTACTTTGCATTTATTATTGTATTATTTTAACTTCGTTAATTTTTTTCGATCAGGAAATCGAATAATGTAAAAACAGTTGTGTCTCAAAACGTGCACGAGTTTTTTATTTCTGTTATTTATTTATTTATCTATTTTATTTTATATTTGCTATTTTTTATCAGCTAGGCCAATGTAATTGTACTTGAAACAAGCTTGAAAACTGATTGGTCGATCCTTTAAGATTTCTGTAGAACTTTGCCGATTCCAACAACATAGACATAAACCTTATCAAAATCATTATTATATTTGTTTAAACTTATTAGCAATTGTGATATTGTTGCTAGATCTCCCATAATTCATACTAAGAAAAAAGGACACAATTTAAAGCAACGTCACTGGGAATGCTAATAAGGCAAATGGGAAGTTAGGAAAAGGCAAAGATTGTACTATATTGAAAATCTTGATCCTCTTGCTATACAATTCATTTTCTCCTATTCCTTTCATCGCTTTAAATCAACTGACAAGTCCCTTTAATAATCCAGCACCCTCCACAGTATTCATCCTGAATTTAGAATCAATGCCATTTGGATGCCTTATAATTATTTTATACTGTCATCTATATTTTAACTTCAGTATAGTGATTCCTCACTTTATTGATTTCCTGGTTCATGGAAAATTTACTTGATTTTATTAATAATCGTTCAGCAAAAACGATTAAGCACTCATCTGTATCTGTTTATATTTTTCAGCAGATTTCATGATTATCGCATTTTTTCTATATTTCAGCAAACCCTGCATACAGCTTTCTTGCACTTCTTTAAGTTTTCACAGCAGTATAAAGAAACTACATGATTTAATGAAATATCAAGTGACAGCAAGACTCTTCAATACAATAACCCTCTCCTCAGTATTCTAGATGATTTAATTATGTTATCGGCTGTATATTTTGGGTTCATCAACTGCAAGTGTCTTTCCATGTGGAACTTCATTTTTGACGCTTGATCTCTAAGATGTGTGAATATTAGTTCTTCTTCCTAGACATGATATTCATTTTTATGCATCACAATTTGTCAGGTTTCAATCAAGATAATGATATTTATCTACCTTCAATTTTACGCTGTAATACCGTGGAACAACGGCCATCATTTCCTCGTTAGATATCGGCTTCTTTAATTATAATTAAAATTCTCTACTCTCTTTAGTTGGACGATTTGCCTAAATATTAACGCTCCAGAAAAAATTACATTAACCCTAGAACACTAAACATGGGGATATAGTACCCAGCGAAAACGTTGATGTATGCCTTTTATTTTATATTTTTTTCTTTGAAAAACCACTTCTCATACAATCACCAATATTAAGCAACGTCGAACATTGTCAGTACCTGTATGAGTAACAGCTTTGTAGTACCAGATGATGTTAGCATTGATATGAGGGTGGATAAGAGATCGGAAGTGAAAATCGAAGAGCTGTGTTTTATTTACAGACGGGGTCGTTATATTCATTTACGCGAAAATACCCTTGATAAATTTATGAAACCCTCACTTGTCCCTGAGCTATGGGTCAATTAGTATAACTTGTATTTGTAAATCATTATTATTTAAAAAATTATTAAAATCTAAAGATATTCTTTTGGCTTTAAAAAAAACTATAAATCATTAAGTCTTACTATTTCTAAATGTCGTATATGTCGGCGTACAAGGCAACGTTTTAGCCTTAAGATCCCCCACTAAAATTATGGTGAGCTCTTTTACTCCAGGAACAGAAAATGAACGTTAGACCCTCTGCTTTATGGTAAATTGTTAGCATGGCAGATTTGTTGATGGTAGGTTTACCTTGGTAACTATCGACACAAGCATTTTCTACTGAAAAAAAAACTTAATTCACATTATTATAATAAAATAATAAATGTGTAGTGTGACAAAAGTATTCTTACTTTATATGATATGTGCTATGTCTGCACAACAATAAAACGCCTATTCGTCAAAAGAGAAATCCAAAACCATCGTCAGACACTGTAAACCGTTTTTTTTTTCATTAGAATTTGAATGAAAAGAAGGTATAAGCTTGGTGAATTTATTTAATAAATTCAATACGTTTTAAAATAACATCTGGAGGGTGGGTCGTCTTATACGGCGAATATAGCCCGAAACATAGATTTTAACTTGAACATTTGCCTGTCGTCTAATACACCCAGTCGCCTTGTACGCCAGCATATACGGTAAATTTTTTAATGTGCTTTTATTCATTGACATTGGTCATGAATTCCTGGTAGATTACGTCATTTGAGACCAGAAGTAGAGATAGAATCATCATCATCATCATCATCATCATCATCAAATCCTTTTGGAATCAATGACACACAGTAAAACCATGTCAATTCTTATCTTCAGAGGTCTGTTCAGGTCGTTTGTCTTTCTTCAACACATACACCGACAACTGCAGCTATGTCTAGGCGTTGTTAGTTGGAATCCAAACATTATTTTAGACTAGTTGCCAAAGACCAGCAGAGAGTTGTGTTTGACCTGCTATTTAGTCCATATCATGAGTAGGAATAAAGAGGCTTTCATACCTTTCCTAAGGGTATTTATGCAAAAGTGAATGTAATCTAACTCGTCCATACAATTTTTCGTTCCTAGCCATAAAAAAAAGTTATATCACCTCAACATCCTGCGTATAATTATCAACAATCGTAAATATTTATTTTGTCAAGTTATATGATTTTTTTCTAGGACCAACAAGTAGAAAGGGAAAAGAAATCACGCGAAAACACTGCAAATTAGAAGACGACGACGATGCCAATATACGACCCCAGTTAAATCGTCAGAATTTCTTATTCTTGTTTTCGGGTAAGCATATCGTCTCCATTTGGTGAATTACCATAACGCAATTTGCCTTCCAAATCTACCCTTTCTCGGGTTTTGTTTGATATATGTTAGTTAAAAATCATTTGGACACAATTACTTGATGCTGTATTATTATTGTAACGAAAATAAGATGATGAACTTTGGTGGAAAAAAAAATAATCAAAGAACGTATTAGGAAGAGATGCACTCACAATGGATAATTGTAAACTTATCAAAACTGCTGAGAATACAAAACAAAAAATATAATAAGCTGCTGTAAAGACACAACCAATTAGTGTCAAATTTATGAATTCAATAAACATGAAAACAAATAAAAGCGAAGTTTTCATATTGATTATAGATTTAAGAGTTTGAATAGAAAATTTCTTTTTGGTATCCAGATCGACTGGCGTTAAATCATTGTAAGCAAGATGGCGTAAAAAAGGTCAAAGAACGACAAGATGACTTCGGGAAGAATCATTGCAACGAAATTAAAAAAAAAAAAGGAGGATGATTAATCTGATTTTTCTAAATTTATTTGTATCTTCAATTATTATAAATAAACGATTAGGTCTCATAAAATTTATAGCAAATCTTTGTTTTTTAT